AATCATCAATCAGCATCCTTGAGACAGACCCTTGCCTGCTGTCAGCAGTGCTCAGATTACTTAATAAATGACACCAACATAACAAGAGCCTCAGCACTTCAAGTCGCACACACACAGAGGGCTCATCCCCATTTGCATTTAAACCGGTTTGTGAGCCACATTGACACACAGTCGCTGAATCAATTCATACCGATGTGTAGTTCCCACTATCGGAAGCAAATTATTTCATTGTGAAGTCGAAGGCTTTCATGGCATGGCTGAATTATTTCATTATTCCATGCATTCGTGTCTTTTTAACACAATTATCATTCGCACTAGATTTGTGCCACTAGAAAATGCATGCTCAGTATCAAATGTGATTGATCCATCCCAGCCTTTAAAAAAAAAAGTCAATCATATGATGCGCATCTACCCGTCATCGGTGACGCAACCAGGAGACCCATTACTCACTCTAGAGAACTCACAGAAATCTGTCATTTAATTTATTTTTAAAAAACCGCCAAACCCCCCTCCCCAAGGAAAGCACCCCCAGAGTTGTCATACCTCTTGAAAATATTCCAGCACAAATTGGGGGGGGGGGGATGCAAAAACAACTGAATCAGGACCAGTGAGATTTATAGGGACCACTTAGCAGTGTTTAAAATCTAAAATCAAAAGCCCCCACGATAGTTAAAAGACAGCACCGAGGCAGTGCTAAGGGGGGGTGGCGGAGTTCCTAAAACCTAGGGCAGGATGGGTTACGTCCTTCTATCAACCCTCTGCCAGTCCCTCCCCTCCAGTACAATGCGATTGAGATCCACGCTTCGTTCACATTTGTTGAACACGCTTGCAAAATGGTTCTTTTCAAAAGAACCACCAAAGGATCCATCTTCAAAAAATGTGATTCTTTTGCATTTGCCTCACTTCACCTTGATCCTCCATGATTCAGACCTAACACAGTTGGGTCTGGAATCGTTTCCAGTGTGAAAGAGGCACATATAAACCGATCAACATATCGGTTTAAATCATAGTGGGAATGAGCCCAGAGAGGCACATCTTCTCTGGAATATTCCACTCCACTGGAAGAATGAGCAAAGAGGATTGCCTATTTGGCAGACCACAGCTGGAATTTAATCATCTGCAGTTTTCTTTCAAGAAGACTATGCAGCATTGTATAAACACTGGTCCATCTTGTCCCGATGTCCCTTTGCAGTCTGTCATCGCTGGGTCCAGCTTCTGTTTTCCTTTAAAGCAGAACTTCCTTCCTTCTGTGTGTTGAGTTTGGAAAGATCTAACATCGATGACACTTGTTAAGTTGCTTATTGAATCAAGCTGCTGAAAGAGCTGCATTCATAACCTACGGCAAAGTGTGAGCAAGGCACACCTAAGATCATCAGCTTTTGAGTTCTTCACGCATAGAACAACACTTCTTACAATGTCAGTATGCATAGCCATAACTTTGTCAGTTACCTCCCACTCATCTTCTACTTCCTGAAATTGTGAAGCACCAACCATTTGTGGGATTTTCCATCTGTTTACCTGAGGTGTGGCACTGCACAACTCCTAGCTGCAAAGTTTCCAAAAATCAGCTTCTTCCAAAGTTGCTTTGGCCAACCAGAGTTGTTGCTTCTTAAAATCACAAATACAGAAGGGCAGGGTCTCGACCATAAATGCATAAAACACAAAAAACTATCACAAAAACACAGATGAAACTATTACAGAATAGAAGAACAATGATGATACTTATAGAGAATACGAATGACAATATATATAAAATTATGTATGTACATTTCTGTGTACTTGTCATTCATGTATGTACATTTCCATTTATTTGTCATTCATATTTTCTACAAGTATCATCATTATTATCTATTCTGTAATAGTTTCGTCTATGTTTTTGTGATGGTCTTTTGTATTTTATGTTTTTAAAAATCATAGCAGAAAGGATCAAGAATGACAAAGAATGCCCCAAATAGCCTATAAATCAAAATGAAAGAGTATCTCTCTCAAAAAAATAAATAAATCTATATATTAGAATGTAACCTTGCCTATAATCAGAATGAACAAAATATGAAAACAAATAGGAGTGCTGTAATTGTGTATTCCTCATGGCAGGGGGTGGACTATATGACCCTTGTGGTATCTTCCAACTCTATGATTCTACATGTCAAAAATGTAAAATCCCAATCCATAGAGAAGAAGAGAACTTAACTAAAAACATAATTCAAAAAAGTCAGCTCAATAAACATGCTTTACAATAAGCCAAGCAACAGTTAAATAGCTCTTGTTGCACAACTTGAAAATGCTTTATTCCACATTACTGCTCCACTATTAGTACTACCCAACTGCTACTGTTACTCTACTACTAGTAGGGGCAGAGTAAAGTAAAGTAGTAATGGCCAATAGAGTATTTGCAAGCTGTGCAACAAAGCCTATTTAAACCATCACACCAGCACAATAGTAGTAGTACTAGTAGTAGTACTGTAGTATATCCTGCCTTTTCCCAGGCAGGGACTCAAGGCAACTTATAAAAGTGAAAAATTCACATCCTACAAAAGTTAAGAATAGAATTGAACTATCAATAGCAATAAAAAAAAAATTAAAAGCGTGACCATTAAAAAGAAAAACTTGAGAAATAACATTATGATATAACGTTAGCGACGGCCCTTTCTTCCTGAACAAGCAGCCTTCAGAGACCAGGTGAAACAAAAAAGGAAACATAGCAAAGATGGCACCAGTCGGGCTCCTCCAGGAAGGGAACTTCACAGCCTAGAAGCAGCTACCAAGAAGGCCCTCTCTCTCATATATTCCATCGGACGTATCTGTGGGGGTGGAGTGGGACTGAGACGAGGGCCTCCCCAGAAGATCTCAAAACCAAGGAAGGCTCATATATGGGAATATGGTTCTTCAGCTAACCTGGACCTCTGCTGCATAGGGCTTAGAATCCTAGAACTAGAAGAGACCCCAAGCGCCATCGAATCTAACCCCCGGCCATGCAGCAATATACAGTCAAAGCAGCTTTATATAAATCATAACATGTATCTTCTGATCTACCTTTTCTGTACAGCTTAGTTTTAAAGCACTTTTTAGAACCGCTTGAACAAAGAAGACATGGGAAGGGTACATTTCTAGTTAAAAAAAGCAAACCCGTTTCCAAGCTCTGTTGTTATTTTTGTTGTTCTAATATTATCAGCTGCTTCCTCCAAATGCCTTGGCACAAAAGAAGGGGCATTAATATTCTAAGTAAGCAAATAAACAAATATAAACTGGAAGAATGAAGAATAGAACAACTTCCAGTCATCTGTGACACTAATAGGTCTTGAGCTATTTATTATGACTGAGATGAAAAGAGAGGAAGAGAAAGATGGTTTGTACACCTATGTGCTATCTCACTTCACAAACCTGGTTGCTTCCGATAGGCATGTCAGCCATCCACCAAGCTTGTGAATGGAGCCCCTGGGCGCTGATGAATGATAAAATAAATCTGCTACCTATTTTTAATACTAGAGGAAGATGCCAATGCGGCTTGCATTCGAGCAACCCAGATTGGCAAAGAGAGGGAGAGCAGCTTCTCCTGGTTTTGTCTACCGATTCCAATAATAACAAATTCAATAATGAACCATTTGCTTCTCTTTCATATCAACCAGAATCTGTGCTTTGGCTAATGCAAAAGTGGGCAACTGTGGAAGGTTAGGGGTCTGGATTCGCCCTCGGCCCCAGCAGGAGTCTTTGGAGGGCTGTAGCTCTCGACCACACTTGTTTCAGCCAAAATAAAAAAAATTAATTTTGCCCCCAAAAGTTTTGCCATCTCTTCCACCTCTGGGGAGCACTGTGTCCAGCCCTGGTCTAATGGTAGGGCCGGCCCTGTATCTAGTGTGGAATGGATTCCTGATAGGATTATAAGAAGCTGACTTACCAGCTGGTATTATCAGTTCTAACTGGCAGCAGTCCTCCAAGGTTTCATGCAGGAGTATTTTCTATGTTGTTGTTGTTGATATATTCCTTTCAATAATTTCCAACTTATGGTGACCCTAAGGCAAACCTATCATGGGGTTTTCTTGGCAAGATTTGTTCAGAGGAGGTTTGCCATTGCCTTCCCCTGGGGCTGAGAGAGTGTGACTTGCCCCAAATCACCCAGTGGGTTTCCATGGACAAGTGGAGAATTGAATCCTGGTCTTCAGAGTCATAGTCCAACATTCAAACCACTGCCCCACCCTGGCTCTTGTGTTTCCCATGCCCTCCAACATTTCACTAATAAAAACTGGGACACATGTGGCCAAGGAACATCAGAGAGTGGTCAAGACAGCAAAAGGTATCAGTGAGGAAGAAGACCCAAGCTAGGAGATGCTGCAGCAGTTTGCTTTTGCCTGAGTTTACAGGAAAGGGAAAGATTCTGCATCTTCTCTTCTGTCCCCTGCTGAGCGAATTGAGGGCAAACACTTCGGTGCTTCGAACTCAGTTTGTAGCAATGGAAGTAAACTAAGGCTGAAAGGGGAAAGCGGGAGGAGGAGAGAGAAACTGGGACATTTGAAAAGCAGCTGAAAAGGTGGGATGACAGGGGATTAATCAGGGACATCTGTGCCAAACTGGGATAATTGGAGGGTTTGCTTTGGTGGAGTCAGAGCCTTAGCCCAGTGTTGTCAACATCCTTCTGCTGAAAATTGGCATTGTGTCCCAACTGGTATACCTGCCAATGTACCCACTTATTGTCCTCTTGTGTCATGGGAAATGCACAGGAGCTTTTTTTCCCAATCTCAGTAAAGACAGTGCTACATTAAACACACACAAATAGTTATGTACCACTTGAGAATGAGCAACTGCATGCAAAATGGTTACCCTTTTGGAAGTCCACTTCTACAACCATGAACAGAATTCATCTGCTCCACATTGTCCCAAAAAAGAAAGTACCATCCCCTCCAACATTTCACAGATGAAAACTGGGACACGTGTCCAAGTAAAACCAGAATGTGGTCTAGATGATAAAAGTCAGGGATGAGGAAGAAAAAACACAAGCTAGTAGAGCCAGCATGGCATAGTTGTTTGAGTGCTGGACTACAACTCTGGAGACCAGGGTTCGAATTCCTGCTCAGCCATGAAACTCACTGGGTGACCCAGGGCAAGCCACATGCTCTCAGCTTCAGGGAAAAACATTGGCAAACCTCCTCTGAACAAATCATGCCAAGAAAACCTCATGATAGGTTTGCCTTAGGGTTGACATAAGTTGAAAAGGACTTGATGGCACACAACAACAAAAGAGAGGCCATTGCAGTTCATTTTTGCCTAAGCCCTAAAAAAAAGGACAAGAGTCCATGAGTTGCTGAATTAGTGGCAGAGAAACTCCTTTTGCATGTTGAACTCAGCTTGCAGCAATTGGAGGAAGCTGAGGTCAAATGAGGAAAGTGGGAGGAAGAGAGAGAAACCAGGATATTTTAAGTGCAGCCAAAAAAGTGGGATGGCAGTGGATTAATTGGAACGGTTTCTGCCAAATTGGGACAGTTAGAGTGTATGAAATACAATTGCATGTCTAAAGGAACTTACACAAGTGTAGGATGCCAATAGGATTCTGGGCATTGTCGTCAATTATTTTGCCCTGGTTTCTCAAATATATGCACAGTTCAGATTCAACATGTTGCCCTTATTTCCTACCTTAGAATAACAAACCTCAGAAATATTAGCCTCTTGCACAACTGTTTTTAATGCAATCTGAATGGTCCAGATCCATCATCTGTAGTTCAAGTTTGATAGAGACAGAATAACCAGAGGAACTATGGTCTG